AATAGAGGAGGAAGTTGAAGCAAAAGGTCTGCAGAGTATAGAGATACATTAGGACAATTCTAAGTGCTGAATTTGAACTTTATTTTGTGGAGATTAGAGTAGCGTTTTAGAATTTGAAATATCACAAGATGCAACTGTGTGGTGTAAGGATGGTTTGAGGAAGGATACTAGAACAGAGAAACAGCTAAAGATACTAAAATGATCCAGGATAAAGTGATGATTAGATAAATATAAAGAAGGCTATGAGAATAGGCTAGATTCATGCATCCAGGATGGTGACTAAAAACTACATATAACCAACCGGCTTGACTTGACTTGGGACACCTACAGATATCACAAAGGAATTTCATAAAATCTTCAAAGCAAAAAGGCATCTCATCTGTTCATTCTCACAGTCATTTAAAAAAAAAAAAAAGGGAAAGCATCAGAAAATGATTAATAACTATCTGTAACCCACCAATTACATGAATTTTATTTACATTTGGTTTTACTTACATAAATATAAAGAGCAGTAAAATCTGCTCTTTTTATTTAATGTTACAACTTGAAAATTATCCCCTCAATAAAAATAGACTTCAGAACATTTGGAGCCACCAGAGGAAAGAGGCAAGGAAGAATTTTTCCCTACGACTTTACAGGATGCATCACTGCCTTGCCGATACAGTGATTTCAAATTTCTGGCCTACAGAACTGAAAGAGAATAAGTGTGTGTGTGTGTGTGTGTGTATTTTTTTATATAATTTTTTTTCCTTTAACAGCATATCCTTTAATGGCTGCCTAATATTTCTTTATTATAACTTTATAATGTTTTGCTTAGCAATTTCCCTATTAGATACAGTTTGTGAATTTTCAACATCATAAGTAACTGTAATAATTATTTCTATAAATAAGTCTTTATTATATCGTCTTTCCTTAGAGTAAATTCCTAATAATAAGAGCATTCAATAAAAGGGCTGGAACAAGTTTTTATACAAAATTACCAAAGTCCCTCAGAAAAGCTACACTAATTTCTGTCACCTTACCCCACACAGCTCTGAGTTCCCAATATACTTCCCTATTACCAGCACCAAACACTTTTATCCTCAAAGCAAAAATTAAAATGAACCTACAAATATAATACAAAAGCACCTCCAAAAAAGAACTACCTCATCCAAACCAAAACATTAAATGCCACTGGAAACAAGAATGCACATGTGCACAAGGGTTTATCAAGGACATTATAAAACCACCCCTAAAAATAACCCAAATCTGCATGGAATATTGGCAGGGGTCTTGCAGCATCCTTCTACTATGAAGTCACTATATTTTCATCCAAATCACTGTCACCAAATCCTATTCTATAATTGAAATATAAGTTTTTGTATTAGATTTGATTTGCAATAACAAAGACTCCAAATTCGATTAAATTGCACAAAACCATTCTGTACCTTCCCAAAGTCATCATATAGATTCATCTTAAAGCTCAATGAAAACCTGACATGGCTACATCACTGACATTACCCTTTCTCTGTGTCAAGTATGAAAAACAATTGTCTTTACAACTCTCTTACTTTAGCAAAATTACTAAGCACTTTAAAGGAAGAAATGTGAAGTAAAGTTTGTATGAGTCTCTGAAAGGTTTGGCTTTACATGATTTCTGCCCAACATCTGCCAAACATCTTTTCGATCAATATTCCAATGGTGCCAAGTTTTTCACTTCTCTAGTTTTTCCTGAAATTGCTGTGGCTGAACTGACTTACACTATAAATAAAACTACTTCAACACAATAAAATGCCTATTGGAAGTGATTTGTAATCAGCCTAAAAAGTACCCAATGACATGAATAAAATAAACTAAAAATAAAACCAAATCATATATTTATGATTTCCAAGAGAATTTTCTATTTTGAAAATTCCATGCCCAGCAAATAAATTATTTCTGTCTACAAGACGAAAGAGTCAATATACTAGAATATATTAAAAATTACAAATGATAACTAAGACAAATAATTATGGGTCTGTTAGGTATTTATTAACTTCATTAAAGTCTGATCATACAACTGGAGACAAATTCAAGAAATTATTTTATTAATTGTAAAGTAGTTAAAAAAATGATCTGACACCCTGTACATATAAATATAAACCTTATAAATCTCAGATAACTCAGTAAGATTTGACAACTGGTTTTTTCTTTACAGAAACAACTTGCATAGGAATACACACAGAAAGCCAGTACATTCTCTCTCACCCGGTTGCCTAGCTAAATCTTAAATTATTCTCTTCAAAGTTTTAAACGCTATCCAAAGCAGAAGTACATATTCTACACAAATTCTCAAGAAACTTCCAACCTTAAAAAGCTGCAAAAATTCTCCTAAATCCCATACCATTCATTCTAAACCACTGGAGCCAAATAAGCAACAAGAAACTCTCAAATGGGGTTAAAACATACTGAATGATAAGAGAACTCATGTCAAAAATAGAAAACAAACCAACTTGGATTCTCCAACATGGAAGAAAGCCTAAACCACCCCAGCAATCTAGGAAATAAACTATTTTCTCTTAATTATGATTGGATTTACTTTTCCACATCAGTTCAATGGCCACCAGAGATTAAAACTAAGCATATTTTTCCTCTCTTGCCATTATGTATATGTACATGTTATATGTGTGTGTTCTGTTTACTGGAGTTTACCGCCAAGGCTTTTAAATGTGTTTGAGAGCAAATTGCTGAACCCCTGGGTGGGCAGGAAAACGGTCCAGAATGGTGGTTTTGTATAATGTCAAGCACATTAATGGGACTCACCAAATACTGTATTTATTTTACTTGTGGCTTTGGGGTGGGGGGGCGACATACCAGTATTTTTTCAAATACAAAATGTAAACCAAAAACAAGGAATCATCCAGACCAACTTATTCCCCCTGAATCTCTAACATTATAAACCCTCATTCTTCATTATATCTATATTATACATTCTACCTTTGGTGTAATTAGGTTCTGAAACCTTCCCACGGGTCTTGTATTTAAATAACAAGTGTTTTGCCAAAAATACTGATACACTGAGTTCTATATACCATTCCTACCTGCAAAGGAATACCATCAGGACAACGGACAAGACAGTAACTGCACTGGGATGGCAGTCATTGCACTAACTATATAGCAGCTCACATTGAAAAAGGGCCAATACCTCAGTCCTAGAAGCTATTCAGCTGTGATAGTCAAGAGGAAAACATGACGTTCCTCTACATAATTTCAAGTTAACCGGATATGGTTTGGGCGACACACACACAAACCTATTTTGCTACCTACAAAACAAAACAAAACAAAAATCTCATTGTTCTGATTAAATTTTTTTCCCAGTTTCAAGTTTTCTCAATTGGACCAAGGGAGAAAGATGATTTCACACCTAACATTCTTTTACCTTTAGAAGTAAAGGGTTTTGGCAATCTAACTGAAATGTTTCAGAAGCAGTGATTATCTTGATGTGCTAAGTGAATTAATTAAACAGCAATTTCTAAAAGCAAACTGGCATCATTTAAAAAAAAATGTTAGTGATCAGGAAGTAAATTGCAAAGCAATCAATAAGGTTCAAGAAAAGAGTGAAACTTGCATATTCAAGTGTCTCTTTCAAAAAGAATGATATTCCTATATTTGTAGAACAACAAGCGTGTAAAAAAACACTTTTCAAAATAATAAACTAGGCGACTTCCTCAAAAGGTAAGAAAACAGTTTTCAGCTTTTTGCAATTCACCTGGATTGCACAACCATACAACTGTGTTTTAAAGAGAAAAATATTTTGCAGTTTCGCATGACCTTAGGTCTCTCCTCTTATCTTGTACATAGCCCACTATACAAGTGGATAATGTCCAGGTCCTAGGTACATTGATGAATTCCTCTGCAATGTTTGGTTTCACTCTCCGAATTTCAGTCTGCACACAACACGTGTCTCAACAATAATCTCACCACCCTAACTGCTTTAGAATCAGTTTACCTTCTGTGTCCTTTATTCGGATGTAATACCTGTAAAAACCCTTTACAGATTATATTAAGATGTGTATTTCCTGCATGTGCACTCTTAAGTTCCTTTTAGAATGTTTAAGAACTCAGTTATGTAGGATCTTTAAAAGCAAGAAAAACAGTTTCTTGGACTCCAGATAATGTACTTACAGGAACAGAATCATATGATATCACAAATATCTTAGCTGCAAAATTCTGAAACATTTGTTTCTGAGTTCCTCCCCCGCCCTGCACCCTGGTCCACACATTTACTAAATGTGTTTCCACAAAAGGAACGCTCTGCAGCCTCAAAACTTTTTTAAACTCATTACTTTAGTCGCACTACATAAAATTTATATTCTAAGTCAATGTCTTATTAAAACATCCTCGATGAGCACTTTTCACTTTTATTCTGCTTCCCCCATTCCACATCGCTCCGAAACATACAAAAGCTAATCGCCCAGGTTCGGGGGGGGGGTCTTTTGACTCATCAGAGAAGAATGCAGCTGATAAGTTATCTATTAATCCAAACTGTCTCGGCTAGGTATTTCACCAAGAATTTTTAACACTGAAAGAGAGGGAAGTGGGTAGGGAACTGAGGTGTCTTTTCACGAGAACTTTTCCCCGAGTTTCTTCCTTAACCAACCTCCTAAGTTTCAGTTCCAGACACAGAGAACTAAGTTCTGACGCTCCTGGTCCAGATCGTCTGAGGTCACTCAGGAGTCAGCTCTCGATTCCGCTTTTAAAATCGCAGGCAAACAAAGCTCACCATTATACTTTAAAAAGTGTCCCAAAAGTCCTCAGAGTTACGCAATTGTGGACACGCAGACGCGCGTGGACACAGACACACCGTCCCGGAGCCACATTTCGGGGCTGCGTCTCGGGGCAACGATAATTCCCAAACCTTTCAACGCGGCGCCCCACTCCCCGAAGCGCAGCCGGGAGCCCGGGACTAGCGCCAGCGGCCGCCCGCCAGCCCGCACTTCCGACCCAGGTCGCACTCGCCACCGCACCGAGCCCCTCAGTACCTCTTCCTCCTGAAGGTTGGCCTCATTCGGGGTGTTCTCCTTCTCCGCTTTGCCGCCGTTGTTCATTTTCCCGGTCCTTCCTCGCCGGGCAGGGCTGGGGCGCGGGGCTGGGTGACGGCTCACTCGCCCACTTTTGCCTTCCCCGGGCGCCGGGGCTCCCTCGGGCGGGGGCCGCGGGCTGCGGGGGTTGAAGCCGGAGCAGCGGCGGCTGGGGCTCGGGCTCCTGCGGCGCGGCGACACAGCGGCGGCCCGCGACTCAGGAAATGCGAGGGAAAGAATGGGCAGGGCGCGGGCGCGAGCCGACGGAGCAGGGGACGGAGACAATCGGGACCCGGAGGGAGACCTGGAGAGGGAGGGCGGGCGCGAGGGAAGGAAGGAAGAAAGGATGGGGCGAAGACGCGCGTCCCAAAAGTGAGCCCTGAGAGTTGGGGATGTGGTCGAATTGGGGTTGGGGGCTGCTGCTGCCGGTGCCTAGCAGTTGCTGAAGGAGAGGACGAGAGGTGGCCAGAGAAAAGGAGAAAGAAGAGTTGGTCGTGGTGCGGGTCGGGGGCCGCGGCGGGGACGCTGGGACCCGTAAAGCCGCTGAGTGCGCGCTCCTGGCAGGCTCTGGGAGTACTGGATGGAAGCAGCTCCCTTTCTCTACCCTTTCTCCCTCCCCTCTCCTCTGCCCTCCCTCTCTTCCTCCCTCCGCCCTCTTTGGACGTGGGCTGCAGGCTTCAGCCCACAGGGATGGGACAAGGAACGAGAAGCCCCCCGCGGGAGGAGGAGCCGTGCCGAGCGCCGCTGCCCCGCAGCCGGATGGCGCGCGCCGGGGAGGGGAGGCTGGCCGGGCGGAAGCGGCCGACCCCAGACCCCGACTCCGCGGTGGGTTGGAGGGCGAGGGCCCGGGAGTTGGCGGGAAGAAGGTTAGGTCCTCCGATTTACTTGCGGGATCCGGGCGTCCCAACCTGCCCTGAGTTGGCCAACTCGAGTGTCTACGCGCGTGGGTTTGTGGAGGGGATTCGGGGAACCGAGGACCTGGCAGTGCTACTTTGTTAGCCTGCTTTTCACCAGGAAAACAAATTGCACCCCTATGCCTAAGCCTACCCTCCTTGTCAGTACCAATTGAGACCCAGTTGGCAGTTCTCCTAGTTGGCAGCTTAAAATGGGAAAGTTCAAGTGATACCGCGGCCGGCTTTTTCAGGACCTGGTTTCAAACCCATTTCAAACGCCCGGGTTCTAAGAAACATCTTCAGCCTACCCGCTGCGTTTTTGCTCTCAAGGCTTCCGGTGGCCCCCTGTTCAGACTCCTCGCATGTCTCACTGGACTATTCTGGAACCATTTGTTTACCTGGCAGTCTCCTCACTCTTAGGGGAGCTCCTTCCTGGAATGCAGGACTGTACCCCTTCTTATCTCTTTAATCCCACTGCTATTTAGATGAGCTACCTGGCACTCCGTAAATACTTGTTGGCTAAGTGAATACTCCTTACTGCAAACAGAACTGGAGGTCAGCACAACAATCTGCAGAAGGTCAAAGCACCAAGTACTCAACATCTGGCCTGGTCATAATCCAACCTCAGAAGGATCGCATAGCTTGTTTCCTCATCTATGTAATGGGAGAGTTATATGTAATTTCTCAGAATTTTAGAGGATATTACAGATGGATAGAGTTATAGCACCTAGGGCTCAATTCCTGATGAGTTTAGGTTTACATTACATGAAAGTTAACATTATTATTAAGGAGGTGGCCATTTTCCCCCCCAATACTGAATTATTTAAGTTTTTGAATTTGACTGCTACAAACTAAAATTTTAAATTTCAAGCTGGGCCTGGTGGTGTATGCCTGTAATCCCAGTGACTCAGGAGGCTGAGGCTGAAGGATCATAAATTGTAGGCCAGCCTCAGCAATTTAACAAGATCTTCAGCAATTTAGGGACACTGTCTCAAAATAAAAAGAACTGGGGATGTTGCTCAGTGGTAAATTGCCCCGTTCAATGCTCAGTACCAAAAACAATTTCTTAAAAAATTTTTTACTCCATGTATTGATAGACTCTACCTCACTTCTAACACCTGGGAATTCTCAGTGTACTGATGTTCCTTTTGTGCCCAGCACCAATCACAACTTCTAATTATTATTTGCTTGCTTAACCATTTACAACTCCCCTTACTCCCCACCCCACCCCCAACTAGACATTCTTTACCCTACACTGGTTTAAGTGCTATTGGGGCCAGGGTGGAGGAGGTGGTGGGAGTTTGAAGATAAGAGCCCTGCCTTTAGGGAGTTTGAAGTGGTGTTGTGGAGACAAGATACCCAAAACAACTCCACAGCAACATAATCACAGAATCCTGGTTCAAATTATAGTAAGCAAAACAATTTTTTTTCCTCTTTCTTTCTTTCTCTTTCTTTCTTTCTCTCTCTCTCTCTTTCTTCCTTTCTTTCTTTCTTCTCTCTTTAAAGGAGTTATAAAGAGAAATGCAGTAGTGGTACTTAGGTTTACATATTGAGTTTTTCTCCGGGGTGGTGGTCTGAAGGTTTTGAAAAAGAAAAAAAGTTGTTAAAGGAAGAAAAAAAAAATCTCTTTCATTGCTGACACAATGTCATTGCTCTCCATAGGAACTGTATATCCTGGAGGGAAATAAGCCAAGAATCTATTGAAGCTGCAATTGAAAAAATTCAGAAGAAGCAAGGCTACCATGAATCAGGAAACTTTGCCCATGTTTTGATGAATTGATTGTGTTAATTGGCATCCCATCCCAATGCCAGCTTTACCTCAGTTATATGAAGAACCACGAGGGGGCAATGTCTTCCTGAGCAATAGCTGATGGTGGTCCTGAACCCCTGTGCTGGCCAGTAACCAACACTTTGCCCTCCTTGGCCATTCTTGCCTGTTACTGAATACATTCCACAGAAAGGCATTGTTTTGCTGGAGCCTGGCAGGGACCCAAAAAAAATGACAATTGATCTAGTCCTTGATGGTTCCAGTCAGACCCCACTTAGTAGGTAGAATATGTTTTTTTTTTTTTTAATATTTATTTTTTAGTTTTTGCGGACACAACATCTTTTTGTATGTGGTGCTGAGGATCGAACCCGGGGCACACGCATGCCAGGCGAGCGCGCTACCGCTTGAGCCACATCCCCAGCCTGGTAGAATATGTTGTGACTGGGAGAACCTTCCCTACCCCCACTCAGGGAAATGTGGCTTAATTCCAAATATAGAACCTGATTCTTTTGTATTTAAGCCAACCAGGATTTTGTCCATTGTTAAAAGTCAGAAACCTGTGGGATAAGAAACAAAACCAAGTTCCATGAGAGGAGCCATGCCTGGCTTATTCATTGTTTTGTTTCAAACATCTAGACAGTGCCTAACACATAGTAGGCACATAATTTTTTAAAAATTTATTTATTTATTGCTTTTTGGGGGATTGAACCCTGGGGCACTACCACTGAGCTATATCACCAACCGTTTTTGAGACAGGATCTCCCTAACTTACCTTACTGGCCATAAAGTTGGATTCTTCTGCCTCAGTAACTGGAATCACAGGCATGTGCCACTGCACTTGGCCACTCAGTTATTTTTTAATGAATCAAATCTTATCGGGTACTAATTATTGGAGTTGAATGGCATTATGGGATACTTTCAAGATCCTGGGAGAAGGACTGAATTATTAGAAGACTCTTTGAGTGGAGACTCATCACAAGGTCACTGGGCAGGGTCATGGCATGAGTCTTTATTCAGTCTTTATTTATTTTGTGAGGGGTAGGACCTAGATAAAAACTTTGTGCAGAGTGGAACAACTAATGAGATTTCAACAAATAAAAGGTAAAATCACACCATGGCCTTGACACAACAAGCAACAGAGTTGAGAAGACAACAGGATACCTAAAATTTATATAGTCACTGGGAAGGGGAAATGCAGGGTGTTTGCAGGAAAGCGGAGAAGAATGGGATAACATGGCAGGAGGAAAGGGATTTCTGTTTGCTGTCCTTTCCATGAAGAATGGTTTAGACTTGTTTGGAAGAAAAATCAGTAACGTATTATCAACAAAACCCAAGGAAAATCTATAAACAGACTTCCACTATTTGTAAAACTTTATAACAGAAGGGAGAGAGAGAGAGAGAGAGAGGGAGGGAGGGAGGAGGGAGGATGTTCGTTCAATCAGGTTATAAATGATCTTTATGACTTGTTTACTACTTCAAAGAAAGTTTCAAAAGTAAGATCACTTGGTAGCGATAGTTTCCAGACCTACTAAGAATTATAAGATAACAAAGGGATGTTATATCCTGGAAAAATTGGGCTAATGACCAAGAGACATCTGCCTTCTCCCCTGTCCACTGCCCTACCATATTTCTGTCTGGCCTACAAGGTAACATGCCAGATTGAAAAGGAAATATTGTATGCACCTGTAGTTTTTATGACTCATCACTGTTTCTCTGGCAGTGTTCCTTTTGAGGCTTGCTTTAAGAAATCCAAACCTATAATTATGTCTTAAATGTTTGTCTCTGGGAATTGCAGACATTAAAGATCTATTTTGAGGCTATTTGCATGGCATGGGCTCTGGACCTATGCTAGCTTTGCAACAGAAAGCTGCAGTGTCTACCATGTGTTGTGATTGTTAAAATCTTCCACAGAGCCAAGGAAGTTCTTGAGGCCAAAGGCTGTTTTACTGCTGTCTGTCATACTTGATAACCCTCTCTCCCTCACCCTGCTGCCATCCTCCTCCAGGCCATCATCTTCCCTGTTCTTATATATTTATGTTCTTGGTTTTTTTTTCTCTCGTAGTAGCAAAAGATACATAATATAAAATTTACTGTCTTAACTATTTTAAGTACACATTTCAGTAGTGTTAAGTATATTCACACAGTTGTGCAACATCCCCCTGATTTATTTTAATTTTTACTTTTAATTTGTTCTAATTAGTTATACATGACAGTAGAATGCATTTTGACACATTGTACACAAATGGAGCACAACTTCCCCCTGATTTTTACCTCCTTAATAGTTCTGAGATCCACTCACTTCCCAGTGATCATTTGAGGAAGTCCATGCAGCCACATGCAAAGGCTGTCCTGGAGGAGAGTCCAGGTTGCTGGCCTACCCCGTGAGCTGGGCTCTCAGCAGACAACCAGTACCAATTTGCCAGCCTTGTGAATGAACTGTCTTGAAAGTAGATACTCCAGCCCTAGTTGAGCTGCCCCAGCTCATATGGAAGAGAGATGAGCTTTCTTCAGCAAACGCTGTCCACATTACAAAATTGTTGGTAAAAAAGTGAATATTGTTTTCAGCCACTAAAATTTAGGGCCCTCAATGTATAACTGAAACATAATTGCATACCATAGAGGGATCCTGCTATAATAGAAACCTAAGACACATGACACTGACTTTGGGTTCAGGTAGAGGATAGAAGCTAGAAGAACTTTGAGGGGTCTGTTAGTTAAGAACATAATTAACGGGTAGTGAGGTCAGGTGTGGTGCACATGCCTGAAATCTCAGATACTGGGAAAGCTGAGGCAAGAGGCTAAGAAGTTCAAGGACAGCCTGGGAAAATTAGTGAGACCCTGTTTCAGAATAAAAGGAGCTGTATATATAGGTCAGTGGTAGAGCACTTGCCTAGCATGCACGAAGCCCTGGGTTCAATTCCCAGTACTGGAAAAAAAAAAAAAAAGA